CCTACATACACATACTAGGGCCAATTTAGACAGGAGCCAATTAAACCTACCAGCATGTCTTTGGAGTGTGGGAGGAAACTCGAGTACCTGGAGGAAACCACACAGGCACAGGGATAACATACAAACTCCAGGCAGGTGGTGCCATGGTTGGGATTCAAACCAACGATACTAGTACTGCCAGGCGGAAGTGCTAACCATTTAGCCACTGTGCTGCCATATATATATATATATATATATATATATATATATATATACACACATACATATACACACACATATATATATATATATATATATACACACATATACACACACACGATCTAGCTGGCAGAAAGCTTTGGCGTGAAAAATATAGAACGGTCAATAGAGTGCTGTGCTTCAATTTAGACATGTGTACACATGTAATTGTCCACATCCATACATTTTTTTTCTTCAATGCCTCAGTTTTAAATCCCAGCATTTACATGCATTTTCAATAGTAGACTTCATTGTGGATGCTGAAATTTTTACTTTGATTTTAGGCAGCTGAACGCAGAGCAGGATTATGGAGCTCAACGCAGTTGTGCGCACACCTTGCAGTACTGCTGCGTTCCGATCTATGAACACAGCATTTTTTTTTTTACACCTGTGTACATGAGCCCTAAGGTGACAACGCTACTCCTCTATAGGTTCAGTGAGTAAGCGTTGTCACCTTAGGGCAGGAAGTGTCTAATTGGCAGAATCACCCGGTAAAAGCAAAGTGAAAAAAAATGAACCATGAAAAGGAATGCAGTTACCACATCTAAGGACTTGTACGCTGCAATACACTAACCCCTGGCTCACATATATGCGGCCGTGCGGGCCGCATTTTTCACAGGGCACGAGAGCCGATTTATTTGAATGGACTTCCGTGCCCCGTGACACGCAGGGAAGAAATCCCTGCACTTTTTCTGAAACCGCAGCCCGAACGGGAACCTTGGTACCTAGTACGGTTGCGTTTTCCGGTGCGGGCGGCGTGCCATTAGAACTAATGGCACCCACCCACGGGTCCGCATTCCTCTGTGCAGGTGGTGCAGCTGCATGAATTTTCGTGCGGATCCGCAGCAGCACCACCCGCACATATGTGAACCTAGCCTAAAATGAAGAAAAAAAAAAAAAAGTCCAGGTGTGTAGAATTGAATATATGGAGGAACACACAGCAGCTAGTGACAAAAGTCACAGAGCTACTAGGATGCCTTACATTTAGATTAGTCAAAAAAATTAAAAATAAATAACAAAATAAATCCTGACAACACACACTCACCTCTATTGCTTGACTTCTACTGTGTCACTGACAGAAGAGTCCCCAGTGATCACAGGGAGCCTACATGACATCACACGGCACACACCTCCTCCTCAGCACTCTTTCATTTCTGATTTTGTTCTAGAAAAGAGATCGCCTTAACGCCTGAACTATTACAGTGCAGCATTCAGACAGTTAAATAGAACGGCTGATACTCAGCTTGTGGGCGGAACGTCATCATAGCCACGCCCACTTCTCAAAGTACTGTTGGCAGAACGGGAATTTTGGTTTCGGTTTCGTTTCTTATCTTCTTTCCTAAATAACCGAGGGCACTGCGGAGTATCGTCTGTCTAAGGCGCCTGCGCTAATCATAGGACTCGGAGTCATCTGTCTCTCCGCACGTTTAGTATTTCACTGACAAAACTTTGCTGTTCCATTACATTACAAAGCCTGGTGCCTGAAAAAGAAATAGTTGTAAGGGCTTGTTTATGCTTGCAGTTTGGGGAATGGTAAAAAAAAAATATTAACAGATGACCTGTGTTTTTAGCGACCTCCCTAACCACTTGCTTTCTGGAAGATTTTGCCCCCTTCCTGACCAGGCCATTTGTAGCTATAGTGCTCTGCATTACTTTAAATGACAATTGCAGGGTCACGCAACACTACACACGTGACATTTATATGATTTTTTTCACATACACACACTGATTTCTTTTGGTGGTGTTTGATTGCCAATGGGTTTTTTTATTTTTGTAAATTATAATTTTGAGAAAATTTTTTTTTACTTTCTGCTATAAAACATTTCCAAAAAACTATTTAAAATCTCAAATTTCTCCATAAATTTAGGCAAAAATGTATTCTGCTACAAAAATTATAATAAGTGTATATTGATTAGTTATAGCATCTACAAACTATGGGATATATACTGGAATGTTTTATTTTTTTTTCCAAACTAGTATGGTGGCGATTGGCAACTTAAGTTGCATTCACCTGAGCATAGCGAATTTGAGCAATTTTTTGTGCATATTTTACTACGATTTTAGTACAATTTTATACAGCATTTTTGGGCTTGGGCATTTTTTATTAGTCAATAGAGAAAAATATATATTGTATCATTTGTTGCTAGGTTTTTCTGTTGTTTTTTTTTGCTTTTCCATTAGCATTTCTTTTTTTATTATTATTAATTTATTATTTTGTTTTTTAGGGTAAGGGTTAGAGTTAAGGTAGGGTTAGGATTAGGGGTTGGTGTTAATATTTTATTATCTTCTTATTTATTTTGTTAGGGTTAGGGTGTTAATAATAATAAATAAATACATGTAAAATAAACACACAAATACCTAAAAATAATCAAATAAATACTATGTACTAAATAATAATTAACCCCTAACCTTATCCCCCTAACCCTTAAGTAATATAATAATTATTATTATTATATTTTTGTTTGGGTATTTTATTAATAAGAACAATAAAAATAACTTTTTTTAGGGTTAGAGATTAAGGTTAGGGGTTAAATTGTGTATTTATTTATGTATTTGTGTATTTATTTGATTTTACATTTATTCATATATTACTTTTTTTTACTTTATTATTTGAGCAGAAAATAATGCAAAACACACAGCAAATTGCGCAAAAGTGTGCAAAAAGCTGCCACCTGCACATTTCTATTTATTTCTATGGGAATAAACATGCACCAGTCTGCCAAATTTGAGCTACAAAAAAAGCTCCAGAACTTGTTTGAGCTTCAGGCATCTTGGAGTGGAGATGTGAACCATCTCCATTGAGAATAATTCATTTTTCTGGTCAAACGTTTTTCAGCTTTGAGCTACAAACCGCTCGCGTGTGAATGGGGCCTTATTGTGGGACTCTAATAGTACAGGGGTCAATCTGACACTTTGTGGAAACCAGTGACACTAATACAGTGATCAGTGCTAATATACAATACACTGACACTGTAATAATGACAGTGGTTGGGAAGGGGTTAACATCTAAGGACGAGCAGAGGGTCAAGTGTATGTCTAGGCGCTTTTACACAGGTGGTGCTGATTTTGCAGGATTAACTAGTTGCAGACTTTGGGCGTGCTAGACATGCGCCAAAGAAAGTAATTGTACACAGGGCATGTGGAACACATCCAGTCTCTCTGCCCTGCTAGCTGTGATTAACCACTAGCCTACAAGGCACTTATATCCCCTTCCTGCCCAGGCCAATTTCCAGCTTTCTGCGCTGTCACACTTTGACAATTGCGCGGTCATGCAAAACTGTAACCATATGAAATTTTTATCATTTTTTTTTACAGATAGAGCTTTATTTTGGTGGTATTTAATCACGTCTGGGTTTTTAATTTTTTCTCAAACCAAAAACCACTGAAATTTTGAAAAAAAAAAATGATTTTCTTAGTTTTTGTAATAAAATTTTGTAAATAAGTGATTTTTCGCCTTCACTGATGACGCTAATGAGGCTGTAGTGATGGGCACTGATAGGCTGCACCAGGGGCGGAATGACAACTCGTGGGGCCCCCGGGCAATAAGGGATCATGGGGCCCCTGTGTCCTTGCCCATACTCAAAAAAGCCTGTAAAAAACGGTACCAGGGGGCATTTCATGGGGCCCCCTACTGACCCCAGTCCCTCGGGCAGTGCCCGAGTGCTCGAATGATCAGTCCGCCCCTGGGCTGCACTGATGGACACTGATAGGTGGCACTGATGAGGAGGCACTGGTAGGTGGCACTGATGGGCATTGACAGGCATCACTGATGGGCACTGAAAGGAAGCACTCATATATGGCACTGTTAGGCGGCACTGACTGGCACTGTTAGGCGGCACTGACTGGCACTGTTAGGCGGCACTGATGCACACTGATAGGCGAGACTGACTGGCACTGATAGGTGGCACTGATTGGCAGCACTGATAGGTGGCACTGAAAGGCAGCTCCGATGGGCACTGAAATGTGGCACTGATGGGCACTGGCAGGTGGCATGGATGAGCACTGACACATGGCACTGATGGATACTGACAGGTGGCACTGCTGGGACTACACTGATCATCAGGGCACACTGATCAGCAGGGCTCTGATGATCAGTGTAGATGTCCCCTCTGAGGAATGCCGTTGTCCGGCTCTCCTCTCGAACTGTCAGCGTGACAGCTCGTGAGGAGAGAAATGCCGATAACCGACATTTCCCTGTTTACATGTGATCAGCTGTGATTGGACACAGCTGATCACATGACCGAGCCGACATCTTCGGCTCTTTCTGTGGATCGGTGATCCGCTGTGTCCGAAGGACACAGGGCACCACCAATCGCCGCACGCTCCCAGAACGAGAGAACGGCCTTGCGTCCGTCATTTTACTATATGGCGGGCGGGAGGCGGTTAAACAAAGCCTAGTTACAGTATACTCAGAGGTGAAGCTGCAGCCCTAGCTGTCAAAAAAGCTGTCTGATGTTGTTTATAAACAACACTGCTCCAAACTGGGATTATACAAATATACAACGTAACATAATGTTACATTCATCTGCAGATCAAATGGATACATTTAGATCTGCAGATGATGGCAGTTAAATCAACCTCACAAGTAAAAAAAAAAAAAATGTTGCTTTTTTATAAAATGCTTTTCTGTTTAACACCTTATTAAGCCTTAGTTTACTCTACTCAGCCCCAATTAACACCTTCCTCTCTTCAACTATTTTTTCCCGCTGATTTTTTGTTTCTTTCAGTTTTATTAACTATTAAAGCAGAGTTCCAGTCAAACTGTAAAACATTAAATATTTTTAAATAGCACACTGTTTATCCATTTGCCATCCGCCCTCTAGGAGAAGTACTGGTATAGGGCGGCACGGCTGCGCAAAGTAACGTGTATATATACGTGATTTGCATTTCCAGGTAGGGGGCGTACCTGCACCGCTATTGGTAGCTGGGGATGTCAATCACTTGATCCCACTCAGCTATCAGCTGTAAAGCTGACAGGGGAGAGACCTGTGTGTAAACAGTACAGGGTTCTCTCCTGTCAGCATGGACATGCTGCTTTGAATCACTCTGCTCAGCAGAGAGATACAAAGCAGCATGTCTCCCAAGTAAAAACACAACACCGCACACAATGTAAAACACACATAGAACACAGTTAACCCTTTGATTGTCCCAGATGTTAGACAAAATATAGTAAACAATGATCCCTTCCTTAGCAGCCTGAGTCAATCTGCTCCCTCAAAAATAAATGGTAATGATAGAAGTGACCAGCGCTCTCAAAATAATAAGTTCAATAATGTCTCTGTATAACCAAAATCAGACGTCATACATCCATCAACTTCTTCCTGTGAATCCAATCTTCCCATACAGTGATCTCCCAAAAAATACACCATTCTTCAAATCCTGTCCAATGTGATCACACTTATAACAAATAACTATATGTGTATTTTTTTCATCAGTGTCCTTCTTTATCTACCCTTACCCTTCATATACTTGTGTATCCAGTCAATTATTCTCAGATTCAATTTAGCTTGGTGTCTCCTTGTGTCTGGTACTTCAAATGATCATCTCACATGAAGATCCACATGATTTCACCCAAAATACCAATATAGTGCAATCAGGGCAGGTGCTACCCACTAGGTGAACTAGGCAGCCACCTAGGACACACTTACCGCCCAGTGTACGGTCACGGCCATGACTCACGGACAATTCGCACATACCGGTGAAAATGAAAATGGTTGCTATGCCTGCGTTAATCAAAACAGAGACACACACACAGTCAAATAGATCCCTCCTGTTACGATCGTGGCGTCAGACCTCAGACCTTCTCACTAAACTCGTGATCAAAGGACTAGCCGATCTAAAACCGCGATGTCACGTGCGTAACAATGCCACACCCAGCTGCACCCTGCACAACGATTTTCCAGCTAATTGGACCACAATCGATGTACCGGCAGCCTGAGCGATTGTTTACTGGGTCAGGTTAATTACGCAATTAACCCTTCACACTGCCACCACCTTCTTTTTGTACAGAGAAAGAGGAAACTCAGCAATATCAGCTAAAACACTATAATGGTTGAGATAATCGTCTGCATAATACGGTCACCACAGGCCGATTATGCAGACAGTTAAACAAACACAGTAGCGTTCTCTTAGAGGCAGGAATTCGTAAATTGCAATAAAGCGCTATAGAAACAGTTCAACACTTTCAGAAGGAAAGATTTATTACTAAAAGGTCAAACGGGTGCAATAAAAATATTTACAGAAAAAATGTAACTAAGAGAGATATATATATATATATATATATATATATATAAACATACAGAGACCAACAACACAGCAAAGAGATAGCAGAGAGAGGTGAAAGCGTTAAGGTACTTGCCAAAGTCCTGGGTTAGCAGATCCAAGTTTCAGAGCAAAAGGGCACGGGTCTCCCCAGGTGGTATTGATGTTAAAATGGGAGACGTCTTCAACTTAGACTCTTAGGCCTGAAAGCCTATTTTGTAGTCCCCAGCAGGGGGTGTCTCTGAAGTCAAGGACCAATACCCCGCTTAGGGCGTGGAGGTATGGGTGGATAACTCATCTGGAGCCAAAATCTCTTGTAACTCATATTTTGGCCCATAACTTTCCAGCTGCACACAAGTGACATTCCACCCACGGGTAGATTATTATGCAGACACGTCTGAGGATTGATTAGATATGAATTATGAAATTATACACTGTACGGTTCACGAGATCTACTTTTCTGTTTTCCTATGTATTCGAGACATTGCGAGTGACCTATCAAACTGTTCACCTTCTCGTGGCCCTCTGATGAAAGGTCCGCTTTTTATGTAAGTCTATCATATTCCAAGATATGAGATATAGGGGAGAAATGGATTTTGAAAAGTGTTTATCTGATTCTGTCACCTACGCTGAGTTAGGTTTATTAGGTTGGAATCTCTTTCAACTCCTGGGAAAGCTTGCCTTATCTCTTACGAGGGGTTACAATTTGCAGGTTCTTTGGACAGGGAGGCCCCAGCTCCCTTGGGAGGGGTTTTATAGCTCCTATGACCCTCCTGTGACATTCCCAACTCACACCCATACTGGCCAAATGTCGCTGGGCCTCTCTAAGGAGGGAGGGGGAAGAAGAATGAGGGAGAAATATATTTGTCAGGATGGTTAATCCCTTTGCCAAGATGGAGGTTGAAGCCAAAATGGTTGAACCGCGTCCATCTCTGGGTATACGCTGTTTACACCTCCACCTCTAAGAAGTTAGGTGCTGCCTGCCTGTTTGCTTATTGGTCAGCGCTGAGTGAGGGGCATGGCTACACGAGGGATGACAGCACACCTTGAGCTGATCAAATGGGCGCAGATGCAGGTATGGGAACATGTCACATGTTCCACCCTAAAAACAGGTGGAAAATGTAACATGTTCCCAAAGGTGAACTTATCTTTTAACTGCCTCCCACCCGCCCATATAAGGAAATGACGGCGCAAGGCGGTTCTCTCATTCTGGGAGGACGTCAAAGGACATCCTCACATTCTAACCACGCGTGCCTGGCAATCGGCGGTACACTGTGTCCCTCGGACACAGCGGATCGCCGCTCAACGGAAAGAGCCGAAGACGTCGGCTCGGTCATGTGATCAGCTGTGTCCAATCACAGCTGATTGCATGTAAATAAGGAAATGCCAATTATCTGCATTTCTCTCCTCACGAGCTGTCACGCTGACAGCTCATGAGGAGAGGAGAGCCGGTAATCGTCATTCCTCAGAGGGGACATGTACACTGATCATCAGGGCACTGATCATCAGCGTGCCTTGATGATTTGTGTAGCCCCAGCAGCGCCACCTGTCAGTGCTCATCAATGTCACCTGCCAGTGCCCATCAGTGCCACATCAATGCTACATATCAGTGCCTACCAGTGCACATCAATACCACTTATCAGTACCCATCTGAGCTGCCTTTCAGTGCCAGTCAGGGCCGCCTATCAGTGTGCATCAGTGCTGCCTAACAGTGCCATATATGAGTGATGCCTTTCAGTGCCCATCAGTGATGCCTGTCAAAGCTCATCAGTGCCTCCTATCAGTGTCCATCAGTGCAGCCTATTATTGCCCATCACTGCAGCCTCATCAGCGCACATCAGTGAAGGAGAAAGATCACTTATTTACAAAATTATATATCAAAAACTAAGAAAAAAACTTTTTTTTCAACATTTTCAGTTGTTTTTGGTTTGTTTAGTAAAAAAATAAAAAAAACCCAGAGGTGATTACCACCAAAAGAAAGCTCTATCTGTATAAAAAATAATTATAAAAATTTCATATGGGTACAGTGTTGCATGACCGCGCAATTGTAATTTAGAGTGTGACAATGCTGAAAGCTGAAAATTGGCCTGGGCAGGAAGGGGGTATAAGTGCCCAGTAGGCAAGTGGTTAAACAACACAAGGACCACAGTGCCTGGATTGTGACGTGCAGATGCTGAGTCAGCTACCATGCGCAATGGTTATTTTGGGCCTATAATAATTTTTAACATTATTGTGAACTTCTGATAGGGGTCGAAGTCTCAGTTCCTGCAGCTTATTTTTAATCACCTCAACAACACCCCCCTTTTGATGCTTTCCTGTAGGGGTTTATGGCAGTATGGACACCTGGCTGAATAAGCCCTGGAGTCGTCATTTCTAACACCTCTTAGGGAGTATTGTCATAGATCTTACTGGGGGAACTGGCTTCAAAGGAGGTATAACACATACCTGGACATTGGCCTATCATAAATTCAGTCTGATGAGCTACAGTTGGCCAATATCTTTCACAAGTAACCAAGCCTGGAACTTATTGAAGGGTGTGCCTTTACCTGGAATGGAGGGGGTATAAAAGTAAGCAATTGCTCCATTTCTGCATAACGTATTATTCTAGGTTTCTTCTCTGTAACTTTCTTTCCTGTAGTCATCTCTTTGTATTGGTAACATTCTGTATGTGAATTGTAATCGTGCTACTTTTAAAGTTATACCGGCAACATTATATTTTATTATATTTGATTAATCGCAAGCTTCTTTTCTGTGTAAATTAGATCTTTATTTTTTGCACAGATGTTATCATTTTGTATTAACTCTATTGGTATTAGCCACATCAGGATTGGCTAAACTCATGTATAGACAAAAGGTTGTAATCACTTATTACATTAATAATCTTAGACAGAACAAAGAGAATACGTGCGGAAGCAAAATCGCCAAAACACGTCATCTCCATCCTGCACAGTCATCTCCATTCTGCATACATTCATCTCCATGTTATTTGCATCCTGCACACAGTCATCTCCAGGGGAAGATGAAAGAAAGAGCGCACAAACCTTGCGCATTACCTCAATAAATAGTGACTAATTTTATTAATAAGGAAATATACTCACAAAATGATTGTATAACAGGCATCAGTAACCATAATCCAAACAGGGTTACAGGTAAATCAAAAAGGGGGGGTATGAAGGCTAACGCGTTTCGAAGGGTGCTCCCTTCTTCATCAGAGCTGGGTTTGGCAGATAGAAACTTCAGTATGGCAGAATTCCCATGGCAAGGAGATATTCAGCCACTGAGTGTCAGTATTACAGCAGTTCAGCCTGTTTAGTCTTTCATCTTCCTCTACAGTTGTATTAAGCTTCCCCAGCTTCATGATAGAGCTGCACAACCTCTGATCACCAGTGGATGAATACACAACACGCTGCTTGTCACTAACGCCTGTTTGATCTGAGTCCTTGAGCGCAGGAGATAATGGATCTTTGGTCACAGTCATCTCCATTCTGCACACAGCCATCTACCATGTCATCTCCATCCTGCACACAGTCCTCTACCATTCTGTCATATCCATCCTGCACACCACATTCTGTACTATGCAGGTCATCTAAGACTCTTTTTAACTACAGCCCATTTAAGACACGCCAAATATTTAGCATAATTTACTTTCCGTGGCACACTTTTTATTGCTTCTTGTAGAACATCACTTCCTCCCAGCTCCCCAGTCAGTTATTTTTTTGGGGGGGTGCAAGTAGCTGGTCTTATGTAGGGAGCAAAATAGTCTAGCACCGGCCAAGAGTGCAAAACTGTTTTCTAAAAATCTCTCCCAGATACAAAGCCACTCACATAATATATTAACTGTGCATACCTTGAAAAGAAGTCTTGATGGCAAACTAGTCGGAAGTGACGTCAGACGCCGGAATAGACACAATTGAGTACGCTTGAAGTGCCGCAGCAGCAATTTTGGAAGTGGTTACAGCTGTTTATTTACACTGAAAGTTTGTAAGTGCATACATTTTAACAAATATATGGTTTTATAAGGATTTGCTGCACTATGGCCTCTGTATGATATCTCTTGCATGGGAAACCTGGAGAGAAGCTGGAGTTAAGGGGACTGTTGAAAGTGGAGGAGTTTGGTGGAAAGTGAATTGAAAGGCACCAATCTGGTAAAAATGCATGGAGTGACACTATTAAACACGTGCATGCGGTTGATCTGTGTTGTTTAAAGGGATATGCACTATTTTGGTGGTATGGAAATGTGAGTGGTTTTAAATTTTATTTTCATGCGTTGTTTACTGTATAAGCAATATCACACTATAGTAGTCTTTGGGGTTTTTTTTAACACCATTCGCACAAGTCACTCTGGTAAAGAGCAGGAAGAAGGTGGAATGCTTTATTAAACGCACAGTTTATTGGAAGTTTGGTAAGGAGCTTGGAGTGTCTTTGGCGAGGTGATACGCTTGGTGGATCCTTCTATGGGTATTAATGGAAATGGACAGTTAATATATTATAATGTTAGAGGCTTTCTATCATCGAGAGACTTTTAGAAAGCAGCATTGCACTATATTGGTATTTTGTGTGAAATCGTGCGGATCGTCATGTGAGATTATCATTTGAAGTACCAGACACAAGGAGACACAGAGCTGAAGTGAATCTGAGAATAATTGACTGGATACACAAATACTGTATATAAAGGGTAAGGGTAGATAAAGAAAAACACTGGTGAACAAATACACATATGGTTATTTATTATAAATGTGACTACATTGGATAGGATTTGAGGCATGGTGTAGTGAGCATACTCCACTATATTTATTTTTTATTTTTTTTGGAGGTCACTGTATGGGAAGATTGAATTCACAGGAAGAAGTTGATGGATGTATGATGCCTGATTTTCGGTTATACAGAGACAATGTTGAAATTATTTTGAGAGCGCTGGTCACTTCTATCATGTAAAAAATAAAAGTCAGCAGCTACAAAAAACTGTAGCTGGTGAGTTAGAAAAAAACAAAACAAAAAAAAAGTCAATCACCTATCCCATCGATCCAGCGGAGTCCTCCCCACAGTGTTTCACCGGCCGTCCTGTGTTCCTGATGCCAGCATCTTCAGTGTGGGCAGCTAGCTGTGATAGCTTGCAGCTTCAGAGCTGGGTGCCCAGTGCGCATGCGTGGGTAAGGCTGCACTCTCTGAATAGTCCAGTAGTCTTCTGGGACCTGTCACTTGTCCCAGAAGACTGCAGGGAGAGGGCAGGACAACTTCCACTTCTGATCGCCGCAGAAACGGGAGCGGGTACCTGTCAATTTCGGGTACCCACTCCCCCCCCGTGCTCCCCAAAGGTGCCAATCCTTAACAGGGACCAGTCCTTAAAGTGGAACTTTCCCCTTTGGGTGGAGCTCCGCTTTAATATTTAAACAGTTTTGTTTTTTTAATATTTTTACACATTTAAAGTGATATTAAAGGCAGATAGCAAACATGTTATACTTGCCTTCTCTGTGCAGTGGTTTTGCATAGATTCAAAATGTTTTTCCTATTCTAGACGGTTTATTTTATTTTTGTTTTTTTGTTTTAATCGATTTGAAACTTGAATTTCGGAAGACAGCTATATACTATTCTCTTTTCTTTTCTATTCAAATTTATTCTATTTGAAATGTTTTTTTTCTATTCTATTCTTTTCCATTCTATCTATAGTCTATTGTTTTTCTATTCTGTTTTTATCTATTATATTCTTTTATATTCTATTCTATTCATAGTCTAATTCAAATTTTATCAGAATTTTATTTCATTATTTCAGATTTGTTACTATTGTAATTCGTAAATTCGGATATACCTGAATAACAAAACATTTGTCTGAATTTCAACTTGGAACAAAACAAACTGCACATGTCTATCATAAGTATTAGGGAGGGCTTTATGCATAGAATGCATGAGCCTTTACAACCACTTTAACATAGATTTACACATTTGTCATTTAAAAAAGCTCAAATTGGAAAAAAAAAGGAAACAATAATTAATTTGTAAATAATTTTCAATGCTTTGTCCCAGAATCCTAATTTTTTCATTTTAAACAGGACAAATTACAGAATAAAATTTGCACAGTAACACTATTTATTTGAAGCGAACACTGCTCAAAAAACAAAGAAAAAAAGTGTGTTTTGTTGCTTTTAACGGTCTAAGGATTGAAAAAAAAATCATTGTTGCAAGACAATATCATGAAAAAGAAAGCCTTGTTTGTCCTTAAAAAAAAAAAAAAAAAAAAAAAAAAAAAAATCACACACACAAACACACCCCTTTCTAATCAGAGTGCATCAAGTCATTTAAACTCCTGGGTATATTGATCTGGTCAGTTAAGTAGCAGAGGGGGTTGTTAATCAGATTCAGCTGCTTTGGTGTTAATGAAATTAAGAACAGGTGCATTAGATGGGCAACAATGAGATGACCCCCAAAACAGGAATGGTTTTACAGGAGGAGGCCACTGACATTTGTTTCCCCACTCATCTTTTCTGTTTTTCACTAGTTTTGCATTTGGCTAGGGTCAATGTCACTATTTGAAACATGAGGCGATACCTGGACTCTACAGAGGTTGCACAGGCAGTCCAATGCCTCCAGGATGGCACATCAATATATGCCATTGCCAGAAGGTTTGCGGTGTCTCCAAGCACAGTCTCAAGAGCATGGAGGAGATTCCAGAAGACAGGCAGTTACTCTAGGAGAGCTGGACAGGGCTGTAGAAGGTCCTTAACCCATCAGCAGGACCGGTATCTGAGGAACAGGATGAGCACTGCCAGAGCCCTACAAAATGACCTCCAGCAAGCTAATGGTGTGAATGTCTTTGACCAATCAGAAACAGACTTCATGAGGGTGGCCAGAGGACCCGACATCCTCTAGTGGGCCCTGTGCTCCCTGCACGGCCCCATAGAGCTCGACTGGCAATTGCCATTGAACACCAGAATTGGCAGGTCCGCCACTGGCGCCCTTTGCTTTTCACAGATGAGAGCAGGTTCACCCCGAGCATATGTGACAGACGTGAAAGGGTCTGGAGAAGCCAGGGAGAACATTATGCTGCCTGTAACATCGTTTAGCATGACTGTTTTGGTGGTGGGTCAGTGATGGTCTGGGGAGGCATTGAACATATCTCAGAATGCTTCCAATTTTCCCTGGGTTATCTCTGCTTCTTTCCTAGAAACTCTTTAAAAGTGCACGTAAAGCCAAAACCTTTTTAGGGGGTTTTGGATAGAGTATGGAATGGTTAAAACTCAGGATCCAGAAGGGGACTGATGATCTGGGGGAGGAATCACATTGGTGGTCCCGTCACGCAGAAACAGGGGCAGTATATGACCTGGATGGGGGTATTAGAGGAGTACACCTAGCTTCACAAGGAAAGGGGGAGAACGATTTACAGGGGGGGTTTGAGGGGGGTTGGAGGGCCAGGGGGAAGAAAAAAAAAAAAGTTTTTGTCCAGGGTGGGGCTTTAAGCTACAGAATCCTCTAAAATGCAATAGTTGCAGAGCAAATGTGGGAGATTAGTTCAGCTGCATCTAGTGAAGCATTCAATGGAGGTTGCTAGTTTACGCCAATTGAACCCTCAGGCCAATTGCATATGTAGAAGACCCTTCAGAGCTTAGTTCCTGAAAACAGGACTCTGGCTAGTGCTTTGGAAAGCAACATGGTGATAAAACAAGGTTCAAGTGTGAACCTGCAAGAGTAAACAGCTGAAATGTTTGACTGCCTTTCGCTAAGATGACCGTTTTGCTGAGGCAGGACACCTGTGGATCTATCGTAGGTGGAACGGATTATTTTTTTACCAGATCCTCTAGGAAGAGGTAAGAAGTGTCAGTGCCCGCAACCATCATAAGTTTTGAGACAGATAATTTCAGTTCAGAGGGGGTCTTGCAAGTGCCACAAAAATAATAATGTAGTTATTTAATCTAAAGATCTTTATTGCAGTTTGTGCATAAAGCTGAAATCAAGCTACAACACAACTTGATAAAAATAATATATCATTTTTAATTGCAGCAAATATCGTTTTTAAATGATACATTATGATTAACATACAGATGTATAAAACATATTCGTGGATTAAAAGTGCTCAATAAAATAAAGTAACAAAGATAAAAGCATTAAAGCGATAGGATTTTTTGCCACAATTCTGTGGTACCCTATTCTAATTTCAGCCATTTAAGAAAATGACCATCCATTTCTGTAGACTGGGTAAATGCTGAAATACAAGCTACTGGATCACACTTCATTTAATAAGAAACATTACCTAAAAACTGTACATCTTCCAAATATCATAAAGGCTATCAGCATTATGTAAGCTAGGCGAGCTGTTCATAATCCCTATTAGTAAGAAAAACATTTACATAGACAGCTAAGAAATTTAAAATAAGTATACATCTGTAATATACAACATGGAAAAGGTTTAAGCTTAGGCTCTCATTGTATTTGCTCTGAGTAGATGCTGGATGTGCCCAAATGCAAATGTGTGAGGAAGACCAATGAAGAAGCTATACATTATACACTATATTGCCCAAAGTATTGGGATGGCCCTCCAAATCATTGGATTCAGGTGTTCCAATCACCTCCATGGCCACAGGTGTATAAAATCAAGCACCTAGGCATGCAGACTACTTCTACAAACATTTGTGAAAGAATGGGTCGCTCTTAGGAGCTCAGTGAATTCAAGCGTGGTACTGTGATAGGTTGCCACCTGTGCAATAGGTCCATATGTGAAATTTCCTTGCTACTAAATATTCCATGGTCAACTGTTAGTGGTACTATAAAAGTGGAAGCAACTGGGAACAGCAACTCAGCCACGAAGTGGTAGGAGAAGTAAAATGAATGGCCTTCAGATTAGCACAACAGTGCGCAGAGAGCTTCATGGAATAGGTTTACATGGCCGAGCAGCCTTACATCACCAAGTGCAATGCAAAGCATCGGATGCAGTGTTGTAAAGCATGCCGCCACTGGACTCTAGAGCAGTGGAGAGTGACAAATCAAGCTTCTCTTGACAATCCGATGTACGTATCTGGGTTTGGCGGCTGCCAGGAGAACAGTACTTGCCTGACTACACTGTGCCAAATGCAAAGTTTGGTAGAGGGGGGATTATGGCTTGGGGTTGTTTTTCAGGGCTTGGGCTTGGCCCCTTAGTTCTAGTGAAGGGAATTCCTAAAGTGTCAGCATACCAAGACATTTTGGACAATTTCATGTTTCTGCAACTTTGTGGGAACAGTGTGGGGATGGCCCCTTCCTGTTCCAACATGACTGTGCACCAGTGTACAAAGCAAGGTCCATAAAGACATGGATGTGCGAGTTTGGGATGGAGGAACTTGACTGGCCTGCACAAAGATCTGACCTCAACCTGATAGAACACCTTTGGGATGAATTAGAGCGGAGACCGTGAGCCAGGCCTTCTTGTCTGACATCAGTGCCTGACCTCACAAATGCACTTCTGGAAGAATGGTCAAACATTCCCCTAGATACACTCCTAAACCTTGTGGACAGCCTTCCCAGAAGGGTTGAAGCTGCTACAGCTGCAAAGGGTGGACCAACTCAGTATTGAACCCTACAGACTAGGACTGGGATGCCATTAAAGTTAATGTGCGGGTAAAGGCAGGCATCCCAATACTTCTGGAAATATAGTGTATATATACTTATTCCTGATGATGTTCACTTTCGGTACTACCTGGGCACCCTTCACCCTTCCAAAAGTATGTCCTCCTTACAGTGGAGGAAGTGCAAATAGCTTTTGCTTTTAGTAGCTAATGCTTTTCATTTACATTAATCACAGTATTCTTTATATGTTTATTTTGAGAACTGTAGAATAATTATACAGTAAATCTGTGTGCCAGAGGTATTGCCCTCAGCAATGGGTAAGTTTAAAAGTGTTATAGTGTAGTAACTAGTATAAATTCAGTTTTATACACAATTCTCGAACACAAGCTAAAAAGCATCGTGGATCTAAGTCATTATGGGGTTTGTGACTCACAATGGATGTGTCACAAAATATCTAGGTGTCTTAAATTTTTTCATACTTTTTGTAAGTTAACAATCTCAAAGGAAACATGTTAACTTAAGAAAACATAGAAAATAACCACTTACACTTGACAAATGCCCTAATGTGCTTGAATGGTGGCACTGATCTCTCGTAAAACACCCCAAAACTCTGAAACATGGGACAGCAAAAGTGACAGCAGCTTCCATGGTCTCCGACTCTGGCCTACACCCTCCACTGGATATTGAGGTCAATCATTGGAATAATGAGCCTTGAATGGAGTTTGAGAAGTTTACAGTACATTGAATACAATATGAATATATTTTAGTGAAAAGCCATGACAAAATTGGTACTACATAATATCTTTCTGATCCAAATAATTAGGCAGCTAATTTAAGTCATTTCAGAAGTAATGCCTCAGTAATGGTCATTATATTTGTGAAATATATTCAATAATCTTAAGGAAATCATGTGACCAGTCATATTTATGCATCTGGCATACTGTTTTCTACCAGACCCGGATGTCATACACTTGTATGTCTCCATGAATTGAAACCTCATTGATCATACTCAGGTCTTTAAATCGGTGCCTATAATCCAGCAGATGATGTCCATTCAATGCAACTTTAAATTGATGAGCTTCACAATATATGAGGAGCTGCAAATACAGAGCAGACAACAAAATTAAATTAATGTTCAAAAATGTAGACTTTTAATAAATATAATAGGTGGTAATTTTTTTTTATAAACATTAGTTTTGCCAATTTGCTCACTCTTATAATCATTAACCTTTGGTATACAGTAGTTCTTTTTCCCAAAATAGAACACTAATACTATAAGTAACATAGCCACTTCTTTTTTAATTAAATTTTCCAATATTGCTAAAACATTCACTTTATACCTGTGTGCATCAATCTTTATTCCTTTTTTGGGGGGAATATTGTCAATTTAAAATGTTATGTACTGTACTTAAAAAAAAAACAAAAAAAAAACTTTTGAAACAAAATATTTAGTTTTACTGCTAGTTACTGAAATGGTTAAAGCTACAGATTATGTTTGGATAATTCTATAAAATGTATTCACGATTTGTGTATTACTGTTATGTTTAACCCATAGGAAACTCAAAGTTGTAGGCCTAAGGAACGCTATATATTATGTAGCATATATATAACATTTAGCACATTTACTGCTAAAGTTAACTGTACTTCATTAACAGTATAAATTAATAACATACACTGTGTGTATGCATGTATCTATGTCCAAATGATGAGCCACATGTAATCCAACGATAGAAAATCTGTGCATGAACATCCGGAGGGCTCCCAAGCACTACTACACAGAAATTGAAAATGAAAGGGATGAGGCACAGATGGAAGCAATATCAGATGGATGCAATCGTTAAATTGTGTAATAAACTTTGTATCAAAACTCTGGGTAATAACGTAAATTGTGTTTTCTCTGGTTCAGGTTGAGAGCAGGCCTTATCTATTGTACTGACAGCATAACTTATCAATAAAATGCATTTCTCAAGATAGCTGGAGTGCGCAAAAATCAGACTCACTTCTGCATAGAAACCAATCAGCTTCTAACCTCAGCTTGCTCAGTTAAGCTTTGGCAATAAAACCTGGAAGCTGGTTGGGTTCTATGCAGAAGTGAGCTTGACTTTGCACTCTCCACCTCTAGTAAATAAACCCCACTTGTGTTGCTTGTAGTCTTCTGCACAGCTAGAATTTTGCCTGAAATTACAACATTGACTTGGGGGTGTTTTTAATCCACTTGTGATAGCAACTCCTATGCAAACAAACGTTTCAAAAATGGAACAGTGTTCAAAGATACATGCTTCTCTTTTTTCGTGGATAACATCATGGCTAGAACTAGGCAGGATTTCAATCTGCCTGAAAGTGTTAGCTAACATGAACTGAAACGATCTGCGTTTTAGCACCCAACACCTGTTGCTTCTCTATATACACTGACTCCAGCCTGCAAGGAAAAGCCCTGCATGCAAGATATTATTGCAGGGTCCATAAAACCACAAACTGCAGGCTATAGTTTCAGTACCACTGATTCCTGCATGGTCAGTCTTTAGTTTTTCATCCAGGCATAGCTATAGGGCATCTGTCCACTCCCTACATTTTTTCTTGTTAATATAACAAAATTTTGATTAGATGTTTGTAATAAGAGTTCAGATACTCCCAAGCACCTCAAATGAATGCACCTTTCTCTCTTTCACAAGTGGAATGAGATGATATAATGATACTTTATGGTGAAAAGGGACTAAAGGAATCAAAAATCCCTCCAACCAAATCAGTGCATAGCACAGTAAAGCCAACTCAGGCCGGTTGCACATGGAAAACTTAGCTGCTGATATTCTGTTAACTGCAGGTATTCTGCATGCTGGGCATATGTCTCTGAATGGATAGGGCCCTGAATGCCTGTTCCACTCAGTGAAGCATTCAGCCTTATTTTTAACTTCTTATTGGGGCACTCTATACTAAGGAGCACTCTGAAGGCAGGAGTTGCCAGAAGCGCCAGCGTGGGACCCCAGAAAAGGAGAATCGGGGCTGCTCTGTGCAAAACCATTAAAGCAGGTAAGTATGATAAATTGATGAATTGGTTGTTAAAAAAAAAAAAAATCCAATGTTTACAAATCAGTTTAAGGGCTCTGTGCAGGGAAGATCAGCATCTGAACCCAGAGAAGCTGTGAGCTGATAGACTGGAGGCAATACAAGGCATTACATTTAAAGTTAAAGTAAAAGTTTAGCAGAATTGTGCATTAAATTTAAAATGGATTATATCCATTCAAAAAAGTCTCAGCCTTTATAGTGTGTACACAACTTTGGACATCTGATTCAGACTTTCCAAACGAATATTTTTGAAGGGACATACTCCAGAATTTTCAGTGTACGTAAACAGAACTAACAATATTTGTTTAAAGCGTACTGTTTTCATAAAAGAAAATAATCTGATACGAAAGACTGCGCATGATCAGAAATAAAAAACAATAACCAAAGCTACATTTAAAAAAAAAAAAAAAAAAAAGCCCTTTGCGGTTTCAGAATTTTTGTACAATTAGTACCATCCTCGGGTTCGACTTGCTGTGAAACATCAAGGAAAACTGGTTGATTGTTTGCCTGATTTTCTTAAAGTGTGTACCCAGCTTTAGTACAGAGACCTGTCAGTTTTTTTTCATTCAGCCTGCTGGGTTGAATGAAAAAAATTCATAGTGTGTACCAAGCTTTAAGTGAAAGCAGACACAGGGATCTTGTGTCCATCTACTTGCCTATGACAAGGGAGTCTGTCATCCATAATATTCTATTACAATTCTAATTAACTATTGAACTAAGCCCTAATTGTAAATCATCATCCTTGGCAAATAACAAATCTATACTGGACAAGGGTGTGTTTCCCTACGCATCATCTGGCCAATTGATGAATCTAAAATATATAACCTTTATTCAAATATATAAAAAAAGTATGCTCAGCTGTAATTAATGCCTATTGGAGTGGAATGTACTGTGCACAACAATATGACTGGATACCATTGCAATTATTTACCTTACATCCAAATTATTAATAACACCAGACCAAAACAAATACCATACCGTTTTAGATGAAGTGACGGCATACAAAGAGTCACTGTAGTTTGATCATAAGCCTATCAGCTTGAATATATAATCTCTGTTATGGAAATGAAGTTACCCCATGGACAAAACTAATTAGATAGTATAATCTATCTTGCTACAGATCTGTAAAACAGGTACACTCATCCAAGGGCTTAAGTGTCAGCCTGAAATGGATAAGCCCCATACGTCACCATATCCAGTCAAAAATACCTCAGTGTCTTGAGGAATGAAAATTTTGCACTGTAAAACGCAGTACAGACCTATCCAAAAAAAGGGGGGAGAGTAGTGAATACCATGCGCATTCAAAAGTGCTCCCAAAGAAAGACCCAAAGAAAAAAGAAACTACATGTTTCGCTCCAGAAAACAGAGCTTCGTCAGGAGTATAAAGAATTAAAATAGGTCACGTAATTTCTAAGTCCAAAAAATGTATGCTATATTTAATTTCACTCGTAAAGTACATCCCAATATTGTTTTGATTTAAGGTGGCTACAAATTCACAAACAGATCCTTTTGACCCTGCCATAATATGAATACATCATCAATGAATCTTGCCCACATAAGAGTGTGTGACATAAAACATTCTAGTTCTTCCACAAAGACCATAGTACACTCCCGCCACCCAAGAAAAAGTTTTGCATACGTAGGTGTGCACGATGAACCCATCGCAGTTCCTCTGCGCTGTCTATATACTTTACCATAAAATAGGAAAAAATTGTGTTCCAATACAAACTGCAAAAGTTGGAGAGTGAATGTGGTATGGTTCTCAAATAGTTTGCCTCTAGTTTCCAGAAAGGATTTACAAGTTTTTAGACCCAAGTCATGACTGATTACTATATAAAGCCTCCACATCTAGACTAGCTAACCACACATCATCTTCCATTGTGATATCTATTAGTCTGTTTACAAAGTGTTGTGTATCTTCGATATATGAAGGTAAACTATATACAAATGGATGCATGATATAATGTAGATATTTGCTTGCTCCTTCTGTAAGATTGTTATTGCCCAATATAATAGGGTGGCCAGGAGGTTTTTCTTTATGTTTGTGTACCATAGGTGAGACATAAAAAGTTGCAATATTTGGATGTGCATTCATAATAAAGGCACCTTCATCTTTGGAGATCACCTCTTCAACAGTCCTTTTCAAGTTATAGTTCAACTCACTCAAGTATTTGGTGGTTGGATCATTCTGAAGTATTTCATAGTTGTCCTCATTGCTTAATAACTCATAACACATTTTCAAATAAAATGCTCTGTCCATCAAGACTATATTTCCCCCTTTATCGGCTGCCTTTATAACTATTTCTTTATTACTGTGCAGATCTTCCAATGCCTTCCATTCAGAATAAGTCATATTATATGACTTATTTCTCCTCTGCCTGCTTAACCATAAATCATTCAAATCTCTCTCAACCAATTTTAAAAACAGTTGGATGCTGCTCCCCTGAGGGAAGGGCGGGGTATAGTTATTTCTTGGTTTGAATGTGGAAAAAAGACCCCGTATTTCAGCATCCCCACTGTTGTTTTCAGCTTGCAATGATTCCAATACACTTAGGGCTTCCATATCTCTAGATGTCAGACCCATCAGAGTATTAGATGGTTTGTCCTTATATTCCTTCTTCAAAGCCAGTTTCCTGGCAAACTAATTTATATCTTTAACCCAGTCAAATAGGTTAAAGTCCTGTGTAGGTACAAAGGATAATCCTCTCCTCAATACTGTTAGATGGTCAATTGTTAATGACATCTTAGATTGAATACTTGTAAATCCCCTTCTTGGGTCGTGTTCGTGTCAGCAAGGCCTGTTATTTCTTTCCTCTCTTGGCACCTGTGTATCCCCACTACTCCTGATTTCTCAATTGCTGGGCGGGATAACCTAATTCCCACGATTTCTTCTAGGTTGTCTCGAAAACCTCTTCTACCTCGTCCCCTCCTAGGGGTACAGTTGTATTCAGTTCTATTGTTACTTGAGTCACTCTGTTTCAGTACCATCATCAGTCTCTGAGCTATCCGAGTCCCTAGATATGTCTGACTCTGG